CCCAGAATTCCTCAGCCAGCTTTGCTGGCTGAGGAATTCTGGGAGTTGAAGTCCACAAGTCTTAAAGTTGTCAAGGTTGGACACCCCTGTTTTAGACTAATGTTAGTTGGTCTTATTAACTTTCTAGAAATCAGGATTTAACACAGATTCCCAGTCTTCAATCCATGGCCTAGTCTGCATGTTAAATAAATGGAAGCCCCATTAGGTAGACCAGACCAAAAATCAACTCCACAGGGAAAAAAATTAGAATATACTTAGTTTATTGAGAAATGTTACAATAGCAGAATCTTGCAAGTCTCCTTATAGCTCAGTGATTTAGGGAGATGTCTTCTTGAACTGTTTCTGAATGTTATCTCTTTGCTCTGGATTTAAAAGAAAGAAAGGAAAGCCCCTTTTGCCTAAGTAATGGTTTCTGCATACTTTTCTCAAGATCATCCCCCTTATTCTCTACGTTAAACCACAGTTTCTTTAAGAATGGCTTATTTATTAAGTCGTGATTGGCTTCAGACATTAGACAACATCATAAATCATGGTTGGCAAGTCACAGTGGTTGGATTCTTAAAACATACGAACTCAAAGCAAAGCATACGTCTTTTTATGATGCCTGAACTTAGTCTGGTAGGTCCCCCCTTTTATCAGTGTTGAAGTTATGTTTGAAATGAACTTGAGAACTTGGCTTCAGCCTACAGCACTGCTCGCAAATATGTCTTTGCTGCATGTCTAATGAATAGCACATACATGTCATTAGCCTGATATGGTACCCATGTATTTTGTATTTGAAATTCTGTGTTCAAATGTAATAAAATCTTTTTTGAGGACCCAACATGGTCTAAAGGATCTGTGTGCATTTTATGAGCAGCTGCGAATGGCTTTTCAGAGCTTCTGAATCATAGATCAAGTCGGTTACCATTTCCCCCACACTACATGCTTCAGTCCTGCTCCAGAGCCTGATACACAGAGGGGTAACACTGCCAAAGTAAATGTGCATAACACGATAAAGAGCAGAGCGCACGGTTTCCTTGGCAACTGAATCTTTCAGGTAATTTGAGCACTTTGGTGCTTCCAAGAGTAAGATGTGTATATTTTTTCTCCAGTGGAGGGTGCTAGATGTTTACTTGATAGTAGGAGCTTCCTGATCCTCTCCTATAAAATCTGGAAGCACGTCCAGTTATTATAAAGAAATGTCTACCAGGTGCAGCTGGATTGAGTTTTAACTTGCTGCAGGTCTGTAGAGTGGATGAAACCTGCAAATAATTGCTGTTAACTAACCTGGCATGAGCCAATTAATCCTAGGCTTGGTGATTACTTAAACAAATTCAATCCTATGTGTTTATTTCTATTGTGCTTCCTTTCAATTGGTAGCTGGGATAGCATATCTAAAAAAGAAAACAAACATTGGCATTAAAACATATTGCTCTAAATATCTTTTTTAAAAGGGAGAGATTAAAATTACACTTCTATCAAGACTGTCATCTCATCTATATCAGTCTTCTCCAATCAATTTCCCATACAAAGAAATGAAGTTCTGTCATTTGCCAATCAGCATAGACACACTGAATTCTTTCAACTGTAGTAGTCCATGACTTCAGTAGCAAATTCATTATGGTCAGCTGGGTTTCCACAACATGCCAAGATAAACTACAGTTTTCCAATCATAATGGCTGAGTTCCTAAAGCACGCAAAACCCCAAATCCCACATGTTGAATGGCAAATGTATGCCACTAACCTGATCCGATTATAACTGCATTTTGTAGTTGGAATCCTGTGCTCAGATGTAATAAAATCTTTTTTGAGAACCTGGGCTCTGAAACCTGGGGGCTGTCTAAAGATTTTGTGCATCCTATGAAGAACGGTGGGTGGCTTTCGAGGCCTCTGAGTCATAGCTCACCCCTAGAATCTAGTTGCTGTCTCTCAACACCCCCTGTTCATGGGCTTAAATTTGGCACCTAAATAGCGGAATTTTAGTGGTACATTTTCATACCTTTTGCGGGAGCTGGAAGGATGATGGAGCCTAATCTAACTCAAACAAGCATAAACCTAAACCAGAGGTGGTAATCAGCAGGTTCTGACCAGGTCTGGAGAACTGGTAGCGGAAATTTTGAGTAGTTTGGAGAACCGGCAAATGCCACCCCTGACTGGCCCCGCCCCATCTATTCTCCGCCTCCTGAGTCCCAGCTGATTGGCTGGGTCTTCTTTGGTTGCCCTGCACAGGAGAATGGAGCTGGAAAGCAGGTTAGTGGGGTGAGGAGGGAATGGGGATTTTGCAGTATCCTTTCTCTGCCATGCCAACCAAGCCATGCAATGTCCACTAAGCCACGCCCACAGAATGGTAGTAAATTTTTTTGACTCCCACCACAGACCTAAACAAGATGCATTTAGCAGTAGGTAACCTGTTTTCTTTTGTGATATTATAGCATCATTGGATCACTTTCTGTGGTGTTCAAGGGGATTAAAAAACCCAGTTCCCCAAGAAGTGCCCAAACTTTTCAATGGGTTTACTTTTCTTTTCAAAGGCAATGCAGGATCCATGCATATGTTGACTGACTGCCGTTGATTCTTACAACTTATTCCTATGAATTTTAGCTGAACTAGCAGTTGTATTTGCAGAATATTTGCACAAGAGTAAGAATATGGAAAAAAAATCTGAAGCAACTGGCATGTTGCTTTAACTGGATAAACCGGAGGATCAAGAAATGGAATGGGCTATTTTGACAATGCTGGGACCATTTTCTTTGCAGGGTCTCACCTCCTTATTAGCATTATTTTCCCATGCACTTTTCCATTTTGTCAGCAACCGATAGCAAAACAGAGACTTCTTCCCAGGGGAAAAAAAAGATACTTTGACGTGTCAGTCTGGTTCTGTTCTCACTCATGAATTCAAACTCTCTCTGATCATGACAGAGCGAGCCTCCTATTGAGGGGAAGTTGCACTATTTTTTTTTTAAATGCAGCATATATTACAAATGTCCCATCTCAGCATTTCAGGGGTCCTTTGCTCCTTTCAAAGCCAGTGCTAACATTGTTTGGAGAAGCCTTCCATTTTATGGATCTTCCACTTTATACCATTAAGATTGAACTCTGGTTCACTTATCAGCGGGACATTCTGCCACCTCAGCAGAAAAAGTGACAAGGCAGCAAATGTCTCCGAGGATCCTACTGAGGTTTTCTTCCGACGGCCTGCATTGCTTGAGAATGTTTTAAGGCAGCTTTTGAAAGGTACAGTATGAAGCAGGATGGCCTCAAAACTGAGCCACCTGAAGATGGAAGGAGATTTAAGGTTTTTCACACTGCTCCATAGCACAAGGCTTTCTTCTTTAGTTTGTTTCCGATAGAATAGTTCTGTCTTATCTGCTCCAGTGGTGGGATTATTTTTTCCCCCTACCGGTTCTGTGGGTGTTGCTTGGTGGGCATGGCATTGCTTGGTGAGTGTGGCTTGGTGGGCGTGGCAGGGAAAGGTTACTGTAAAACCCCCATTCCCTCCCCACCTCACTAACCTGCTTTCCAGCTCCGTTCTCCTGTGCAGGGCAACCAAAGAAGACCCAGCTGATCAGCTGGGACTTGGGAGGCGGAGAATAGATGGGGGGGGGAGGGGTGCCAGTCAGAAGTCGTATTTGCTGGTTCTCCGAATTACTCAAAATTTCTGCTCCTGGCTCTCCAGAACTGGTCAGAACCTGCTGAATACCACCTCTGCTCTGCTCCCATAGGACAAGGACAGAAAAGTCAGAGATTCCAGCTTTCTGTGAAATAAAGTTGACTCGATCTTTTGGAGTTCAAGTGTTTGTCTTAAGGAGCTGGGTTCAGCTCCGATGGATTTGCTCTGTTCGATGCAAACCCAATGAATAAATCAGAGGATTCCAGGCAGGAGTCCAACATTCTCCCTCTGGCAAAGTCACAATAATATTTGCTTGATTATGGCTATTAGGGGAATACAACCATTGTGCTTTAGTCAACAAACCACGACTTGGTGTGAAGTGTGAACCAGCCTCTACTTAGATTGACTTTTCCAGATTTCATGCAGGGAAGGCTTCCCAGATTTCTGTGAAAATGCCAAGAACCTTGAGATATAGGAACTTCATGCAAAAGGTAAACTTTATCATTAAATATCTGCTCTGGCCATGTTGCAATTAGATTCACACTGTTTGGAGGTTGTTCTAATATACACGGACACATTCCCTTTGGTTCAGTGGTGAGATTCTACCAGTTTCCCTACTGGTTTGGTGATCGCGCACTTTGTGCGCATGCAGCTTTCCAAATACCAGTTGAGGCACTGCCGCGTCAATCAGCGGAGAGGATAAAGTACAGAAAAGTGCAGGGGCATTTGGGAGAGCCAATCCAGTGCTTTCTCTTCCTTCTCCTCTCAGGTGATCGTTGGAGCTTTTTTACTACCAGTTCGGCCCAATTGGTAGCAATTTTTGCTACCAGTTCAGTCGAACCGTGCCAAACCGGTAGCATGTCACCACTGCTTTAGTTGCTTCCTGGTGGAGATCTCCTGCTCATAATAGCTAACCCTATTTTTATATTTTTTTCCCTTAAGAATAGAGGGGGAAGATAGAAACCTGGGAGGAATAGAAGTTAAGTCAAAGTCACCTACCCATTCCAGTAACATTTTATGAAAGGGGAAGAGCATCTTTTCACGGTATTCTGGTAACACACTGAACCTTGTCAATTCAGATACATTCCCAATACACACTTTCCTTTGATTTTATAAAATTCTTTTGTGGTTTAGGTTGTTGTTAAACCCAGAAATGACTTCATTTCAACACCCAATGAAGATGGTTGTGTGAACTCAGCCTTTCTCTGTGCCCCATATGTGCAGTAGAGCAGCTATACACAAATCTAACAAACTTGGGTGCTTTTCCCCCTCGCAGCAAAAACATGACTTATTGTAATAGTACAACTTTGCCTACAGAGGGACCCAACGACCAGCCAAATTCGAAGAACAGAAACCTGGGTGACTGAACGAAATGAAAAAGTCAAAGTCTTAATTCACATTTCAAATTCCTCTACCGGAAAGCATGAGAAAGGTTCATTGTGGTTCAACTTTACAAGGAGTTAGCAAGGACATATCAGATGGGTGTAATAAACCAGCATTCCCTGTCTTTGGATTCAGTTTAAAACATCATTGCCTTGCTAATTTTTGCAATTTTTAAATACTCAAATTGAATAGAAAGATGAGGTGTAAATCAGTCAATTGACCAACCACTCAGTTTTGAAGCAGAGGAACGTTTATGATTTGAGTTTAATTTTTCTGAGACTTCTGGCTAACTTTTTGGAAGAATTAAGGGGGGAAAATTCTTTCATTTTGGCAATTAAGTGGTTAAATGGAATCTTGTCAAATAGGGGAAGTGGTTTTAATATAGGAAATGGGGGATATAGTAAATAGAGAGAGAAGTGTTGAATAAATGTCCTGCTAACCACTTCCTGATCTTAAATGAGCCTGATCTCTAGCATAAAACAGGATTATAATTTAGGTGTGGTCAAAGACAGTCTCCTAATATGAAGACCATGCTAAGAACTGCATTGTAAAAGGAGGCTTGGTGACATACTTTTAAAAGCAGCAATGAGAGTTAAACATATTAAATAAAAATATTTTACATTCTTGCTCAAATTATGCATGCATTTACCATGGGTCTTATCAACATCTTTTAACCAGGTTTATGTATTTGTTTATAAGCTGTACACCCTGTCTTTCCTTCAGGAATTTAGGGTAGTTATAGGATTCAGTACTTTGATCCGCATGGGTAAGGCATGCACTGTTGCAACTTAAGATTGCCTCTTTTGTAAGTTGAGGTAGTGCACAAAACAAACAAACAAAAACAAATGGAACTGTGATCTCACCAAAAAGCAAGATTGACAGAACAGCCTTATAGCAGAATGTCGGCATCTCAGCACCCACTTTTCTGACGGTGGGAGATTCTGGGAGTTGAAGTCCATACATCTTAAAATTGCTGAGGTTGAAAAACATCATTCTAGAATATTAGAAATATCTGGTTAATCCTTGCCAGCACAGCACAATTGATTGATTTACGCTCCACTTTATTTATACAACACACAATCACTCAGCGTGGTCCAGTTCATGTTATGCATGCAGCTCTTGACATGCCAAATAAAACTAACTGTAAAAGCCATTATCCCCAGTCAGACTTATTGTAACCCATAGAATTTGTCATTTGCAGGACACTAGTTTCTCTGGTGTTATATACCCCCATCTTCTACAAAATGGTTGGATAAATGCGAGTGACTGTCGAAGGCACATAATGGTTAACTAGGATTATTACCAACAGTTATGAATTCACAGTCAAACCTTTGTGGGTTCATATATTTTGTTGATCCATCATGTATCCTTGGTTTTCACTTAGTGTGAAATCTGCACCTGACCACTGTGATTTGCAAACCGTGGCTTGTCCCATATTATGATCTATTCCAGAATCTATAGTTAACTCCCTTCCAGTACCTTAGTGCAAAATGTGAGTGTCAGGATTCCAGCAATTGCTCTAATTAAATCCTGATTCTTGAGTCAAACTTCAAAAAATTTCGAAGGATCTATTAAGGCGACATACTGGCACTGCTCTGTATGTTGCCTCTAATAGATCCTTTGAAGTTTTTTGAAGTTTGGCTTGAGAATCATGATTCCCCCCTCCCCCCAGGGTGTCTCATAAACCAGGTTCTCCAATTGAGCACGTTCATGGGCTGGGTGTCATAATTCAGGTTCTCCAATTAAATATATTTGCGGGCAAAAGCTCTGGTATTTTAGTTACAATATTTTAAAGGTAAGAGTTGGAATGTACTTTCACTTTCAAGCTGCTGCACTGCTCTTCCAGATTTCCCTCCCCACTTTTTTGTGGCAACTACTAAAATAGGCATATGAATGGTTTACGAGTTGACATTGAGTATAGCCTATATTTATCTAATCCTTGCTTCAAGGCAACGGATCCTTCCTGGGCAAATTTATTAGCAGCCATCTTGCTTCAAAGTAAAAATAAAAATAAGGGCAGTCAAGCCATCAACCCAGGATGATCAAACCCATGTTGCTGCATCCAGGCATATCTAAATGAGATATGTACTGTGCCCTTGAGTCCCATGAAAAAAAGAATACAGATAGTCCTTGACTTAAAACCATTCGTTTAGTGACTGTTTGAAGTTACAGAGGTACTGAAGTGATTTATGACCATTTTCACACTTACGACCGTTGCAGCATCAATTGATCAAAATTCGGATGCTTGGTCACTGGCATGTAATTTGCAATGTGTTGGGGTCACATGATCGCATTTGCGGTCTTCCGACAAGCAAACTCAATGGGGAAAGCCAGATTCAACAACTGTACTGCTAACATAACAACTGCAATGATTCACTGAACACTTGCGGCAAGGAAGATCCTAACAACGGGGCAAAATTCACTTAACATTCACTGTCTTGCTTAGCCATGGAGATTTGGGGCTCATTTGCAGTTGTCAGTCAAGAATGACCAGTAGAACATCAATGTAAAAAAGGGGAAAGATTAGCAAGGAAAAAAAAAGTGCTCTACCCTGGATATATAAATGGAAGGAAGGAAAGAAAAGGAGTCCCTGCGGATTTTATTCCGCTAATCATTCCTGACTATAGGAGGCGGCACTCATCTCTCCTATTCAAGACCACAAGTCTGCACGGTTGGAAGATGTTAAGGTGGTCCTGTGCCCAGGATGACCTCATGGAGCATTGTTTCCCCACCACCACCAAAGTGGTACCTAGCCACTTCTTTTGGATGATTGTGACTGCTAGTATTATGAGAGAGGGAGAAAAATGAAATTCTACGCTTGTCATTATTTATTAACATCATTCATTATCTTCTGATCGCTTTTCTCTAATAAGTTAATTGTGCGTGTGAATTGTAGAACTAGAATGCACTTATATTCACACTTACTGTATGACACATTGAAGCAGATACTATATTTTGGCTTGACTGATCCCACTAGGTCGACCAGGCCTCAAAATCAATTACATAAGAAGTTTAAATCTAATTTTATCAAGACTGGCTATAATAACAGAAGCTTGCAAATCTCACTGTGCTGTATCTCTTTCCCTCTTCAGTGAATTAGGGAGGTATCTATCTGAGCCATTTCCAAGCATTATCTAGGCAATCTGGACTTTAAAAAGGTTTCATCCCTTGTTGCCTTGGCAACAGATTTTGCATATCTCCTTCCAAGTCATCTTCCTTACAGTCTATAAAACCGAACCCATGTGGTTAGTTTCTGGTTCAGGATGTTGTGCAAACTCAGAAAACTAAATTAGTAGAACTTGATTAAGTTAACTGTGCGTAAGCTTGTTGTGTGTATTGTTAAACTGTAATCCTTGGGGCAAACTTCCTGACTTCCATATATGTTTGGCATATATAGAATAGAATAGAAATCTTTATTGGCCAAGTGTGATTGGACACACAGGGAAATTGTCTAGGTGCAAATGCTCTCAGTGTACATAAAAGAAAAGATACATTCGTCAAGAGTCAATAATCATCAGGTACAACATTTAATAATAGTCATAGGGTACAATATGTAATCAAATCATACTAGGAAACAGTCAATATAAAATATAAGGATACAAGTGACAAAGTTACAGTCATACAGTCACAAGTGGGATGGGATGGGTGATAAGAAGTGATGAGAAGATTAATAGTAATAATAATGCAGACTTTGTAAATAGTTGGACAATGTTGAGGGAATTATTTGTTTAGCAGAGTGATGGCATTCGGTTAAAAAAAAATGTCCTTGTGTCTAGTTGTTCTGGTGTGCAGTGCTCTGTAGCATCGTTTTGAGGGTAGGAGTTGAAATAATTTATGTCCAGGATGTGAGGGGGTCTGTAAATATTTTCACAGCCCTCTTTTTGACTCGTGCTGTATATAGGTCCTCGATTGAAGGCAGGTTGGTAGAAATTGTTTTTTTCTGCAGTCCTAATTACTCTCTGAAGTCTGTGTCTGTCTTTTTTAAAAATCAATAAAAATTTGTTTTTTTAAAAAAAAAGTCTGTGTCTGTCTTGTTGGGTTGCAGAACCAAACCAGACAGTTCTAGTGGTGCAGATGACAGACAGATGTATTATATACATTCAAATATATTTGCATAGAGCAAATATATATACTTCAGGGCATGCTCTCTGAAATAAAGTAAACTCTGGTAAAAATACCTAAGGATTTCCCCCTTTAAGAAAGTGGAGATTACCCCAGCAGTACAGTATGTTGGTTTTCCCAATTTCAGATTTGTAAATCCGATTCAGATTTTGGTTCCAGATTTTACTGACTGGATCATACATCATGCTAAGTTATAATCTGATTTGTTTCATTTTGGCCTCAGTGTGCAGTGAAACCCATGTGGTTTGTAAATTATGATTATGGCTTAGCATGATGTGCAAACCCAGGGAAACTAAGCAGGGGTGGGCCTGACTAATATTTGAATGAGGAAGCATTAGGGAATTTCAGGAAAAGAAAGTAGACCAGGAAATTAAAAGGAAGAAAAAGAATAAGGCCGTGACAAACCACCTCCATACTTGGCTAAGAAAAATTCAGAGATAGGTCTTGAAACCACCAGGAGACTTAAACAAAAATAACTCTTAACCCCTCTCCTAAGCATTAATCAGGCTCCCAAATATAATATTTTGATCTTTTTCCAGAGTTTGTTGAACATTTAGCTTTTTCTAAGCTTCTTTGCAGACATTTGGAAAAGCTAACCATGGAGACAGGATGGAGGATATATTTTGTGCTTTCCCCTGCATTCTAAACTCCTCCTGTTGGTAAGACATTTTTTTTCAAGGAGTTCAGTGTAGGTAGTCCTCAACTTATGACTACAATTAAGCCCAACATTTCCGTTGTTAAGTGATTCCCCCCCCATTTTACAACCTTTCTTGCCACAGCTGCTAAGTGAATCACTGCAGCTGTTGGTAACACAGTTGTTAAGTGAATCTGGCTTCCCCACTGAAGGTCAGAAGGTCACAAAAGGTGATCTGCAACCATTATAAATATGAACCAGTTGCCAAGCATCCAAATGAAGATGCTGCAATGGTCGTAAGTATGAAAAAAGGCCATAAGTCACCTTTTTTCAGTGCATTGTAACTTTGAACAACCACTAAACAAATAGCAATAGCGCTTAGACTTATATACCGCTTCACAGTGCTTTACAGCCCTCTCTAAGCAGAGTCAGCCTATTGGCCCCAACAATCTGGGTCCTCATTTTATCCATCTTCAAAAGATGGAAGGCTGAGTCAAACTTGAGCCTGGTGAGATATGAACTGCCAAATTGCAGGCAGACGGCAGTCAGCAGAAGTAGCCTGCAGAACTGCACTCTAACCACTGCGCCACTGAGGCTTACAAATAGTCTTAAGTCAAGGACCACCTGTAACCTTGTGCCAACAAAACCTGTGCAATCTCATCCTGGTGGAAGAAGAATGGAGCCAGCCCTCCTCTCTTTTTCTATTGGTGGCTTCATTTTCTACATCCTGAAGGGCTTTGGTCTCCCCTGATGCTCTGCTGATCTGTGAACATGTGGATAAATAGTGTTCTTCAGAGACATGTTTTGTAAATATAGGGCAGCACAGCAGTGGCTCAGCGGTTAAGACGCTGGGCTTGTTGGCTGGAAAGCCTGCAGCCCAGGTTTGAGACCTGAGCGCCATGCTGACAGGGGTGAGCTCCCCTCTTCTTCCCAGCTCCTGCCAACCTAGCAGCCCGAAAGCATGCAAATGCGAGCAGATAAATAGGTACCACTTTGGTGGGAAGCTAACAGTGTCCCATGATATCATGCTGGCCATGGAAAAGTCTTCGGACAACACTGGCTGAGTAGCCTTGAAATGGAGATGAGCGCTGAATTGGTAACGACTAGTGGAGTAAAATCCACGGGATGCCTTTTGTTTTTGCAAACATAGCTGTGGTTTTTCTCATGCCTGGCGCAGGCATGGTTTGCTTTAAAAAAAGGACGAGGAGACCAGAGTGAGGGCACCGAGACTGCGGCATGCTATTCTCAAACAAATGGAGGCAGCAGAGGCAAGATAATACAATCCCCAGCGGAGAGGAGGCTGCCAGGTCACCTCTCAAAATGCTCATCCCACCGGACCCTCCTCACCTGAAATCCTTTGCTCATCCCAGGTCACGTTGCACAACTGGCCTCTTAATAATATCATTAAGATTCCTTTTCTGGCGCCTCCATAATAAGCGAAGGCGGGGATGCTGTGATTAATGGAGGTTTGATGGATGAAGCCCCCCTGTCACCATTTAATACCTGTAACAATGGATTCATTAACTGGGATTAGTTTCAGACATAAGCTTTTCTGTACCCATGGCTATTACTCACTCAGTTCATTAACGGGACAGCATTAGTTCTGCTACCTTTGAGCGGGGATACATCCTGCATACCAATTACATTTGCTCTCTTCACTTTCATGGATTTGGAAGCAGTTCTATAAAAAGCTGGAATATCTTAATTCAGAGCTGTCAAGGAACACTGTCTGGCTTTCGTTCCCCACCCCACTCCACTTGCTCTCCCCTTAATTCCTAAGGGGTAGGATGTTAAGTTAGGTGCCAAATGGAAAAAGGAGGTTCTTGCATGCCCTTGGCTCTTCTTTTTGAAGGGGAGGATTGTATTAACAATTCCTGCCTGCCAGTGGTGGGATTCAAATTGCTTTCCCACAAGTTCGGTGGGCGTGGCTTGGTGGGCGTGCTTTGCCTAACGCTGGTGCACAGCTTTCCCCACACCAACTGAGACCTGCAGCACCAATCAGTTGAGAGGATAAAGAAGAGAAAAGCGCAGGGGCGGGTGGGAGGACCGATCCTGCCCTTTTCTCTTCTTTTTCTTCTCAGCTGATCATCGGAAGATTTTTTTGTTCCCTTTTCAGCTGATCGTGGGCTTTTTTTACTACTGGTTCGGCCAAACCGGTGCGAACCGGTAGCATACCACCACTGCTGCCTGCTTAAAAGGCACCCTCAGCTACCTGCTTACAGACTCTAGGACAACTCATCATGGCCAATTCGCCACAGCCAACTCACCATGGCCAACTTGCTTCAGCCAACTCTCCACAGTCCATTTGCCACGGGAAAATTCACCACGGTCAACTTGCCACGTGACAATTCAACACTCTATCAATTGTTTCATTCTGTTACTTTTATTATTGGTGACCATGTTTTGATTGAAATTATCATAACTCTTGTATTTCTGAATTGGCTTTCTTTATTTTATTATTATTGGCCATGGTTCCGTTGGAATTAATTTAACTTTTGCACTGGTTGAATCGTCCTGCAGCAAGTTGTTCTGTGGCTCGGGCAAGTTGGTTTGGCAAGTTGTCTCATTCTGGCTTACATGGGTGCAATAGTTAAGACTGCAGCATTGCAGGCAAACTCTGCTTACAGCCTGGAGTTCGATCCTGACAGGACTCAAGTTTGACTCAGCCTTCTGTCCTTCCGAGGTCAGTAAAATGAGGACCCAGATTGCTGAGGGCAATCTGCTGACTCCATAAACTGCTTAGAGAGGACTGTAAAGCACTGTGAAGCGGTATATAAGTCTAAGTGCTATTGCTATCACATGAATTGTCACTGTGTTTCCCCCACGAAATTATTCCCAAATCCATCATTTCTGTGATAACAAAAACAAAGGACCTAAGGCTTTTCACATGAGAGGCTATGATCCTTTTTACATAAGCATTATAGGTAGTCCACTTTCATTTTGTGACTGTTCAAAGTTATAATGGCTTGATCATTATTTTCCTTTGGAAAAAGACTTGAATCCTAATAAGTTTATAAGATTGCAGAAGAAGTTTTGAATGGCTAGTTTTAATGGGTTTTGTTCTTATTTACAGTTTATTGAAACATTTGTAATTGTAAACGAAGCAGCCTTATTTTCTTTCCTGCTATATCTTCCTCAGTAGTTTAGCTTTTTTCTCTCAGGCACATGGACTGGGTTCAGGCATCACACTAAACCATGGTTTGTTGAACAAGATATAATGGTCTGGAGTGTAAATAGGACTCGGCCATTGACTTTTATAAACCACAACGCTTTGGTTTCACACATCTAAAGCCCAGCAAACCGCATTAGAGCTTGGTGTGTAAGGGAACACAGTCCAATTATTGTGGTTCAGGACAAAGAACACAAGCTGGGGTAACCTGGAAATAAAACGCCCCCAAAGCTTGTGGGTTGGTGGAAGCAGAAATATTGAGCTTTGTGAGTAGACAGGATTTTAAAATCCACCCCCCCCCCCGTTCTCTCATTTGAGCTCAGCACACTAAAGCTTGCCAGGATGGAATAGAACATAATTATATTAAGCATGCTTTTAAATTTTTAAAGGTTTCCTTACACCGTGGTTTTTAGAGGCACCAGATTAAAATTGCATTTTACAAAATTCAAAAATCGTTCTACTCTAAATGTAATGTTACCCGGGGATGAGCCAAAATGGTTGCAGAACTTCCATATTCATAAACCATCGTTTTTCAACCTTGGCAAAATCTGAAGCCTGCCGGCTAGGGAATTCTTAGAAATTGAAGTCCACATATCTTATAAGGGCCCAGGTTGTGAAACATTGTCACAAACAGTATACAGTTAGTCCTCAACTTATGACCACAATTGAGACCAGAATTTCCATTTCTAAGCAAGGCCATTGATAAGTGAATTTGTCATGCCGCTGGTGGAGTCTGACTCTGAGGGAGAGGAGGAACAGCTGACAGGGAGTGGAAATGTGGCTCCAGAGGTTGTGGAGGAAGCTGGGGAAGGGCAGAGGCTGGCTGAGCAGTCAGAGGAAGACCCAGGCCCATCCCCTATCCATCCTAGGGCACGCAGGGAGGAGAGGATAAGGGAGAAACATGGTCTACTTGGGAGGAGAGGGCCTTGATCCTCTTCATGGGCTGCAGATGTGACAACTGAATAAGAGGACAGACATGCATAGGAGCGAATGCTGGAAACAAAGCATGGAAATATCTCTAGTTATGGTTCCCCTCTGAGTTTGGCGTCCTTCCCAGTGTGTGTTATCTGTGGACATCCTCCAGCCCTTATCTTGCCTGGTTTGTGTTGCTTTTCCCCTTCTTCTTGTAACTGTTTGTGTGGGAGTTTTTTGGCTTCCGTCAAGAATCTTCGGAGCTTAGAAGCAAAGTGAAGGAATAAAAGGGGCTTCACCTGTTTTCTGTGACTGTGTTTGTTTTGTATCCCACCCTGGGTCATCACAGAATTGGGTCTGATTTTATAAACTTTTTTTTTTGCCGTAGTTATTAAACGAATCACAGCGGTTCCAACCAGTTCTATGAGAGTGCGCTTTATGCACATGCATGCATGTAGGGCTCAAAGACTGCCCTCTCTGTGGTGAGTTGAGCTGGTGAGTTGAGCTGTTTTTTTAGCTCAGCTGAGCCACAGCAATCCACTCTGCCGTGTGAATTGGCTGAGCTAAAAAACAAGGGAATATAAGAGAGGTAATGGAAGGGGTGGGTGGGCGGGGCCAGCTAGAGGTGGTATTTTGCCAGGTCTCTGAACTACTCAAAATTTCTGCTACCAGTACGCCAGGACCGGTCTGAACCAGCTGAATACCACCCCTGATGCCATCATAAACTGAATCTGGCTTCCCACATTGATTTTGCTTATCCGAAGCTGGCTGGGATGGTTGCAAAGGTTGCAAGGTCACATGACGGTTGCAAGATCACATGACCTTGGGATGCTACAACTGTCGTAAATAAATGCCAGTTGCCAAGCAACCAAATTTTGATCATGTGACCATGGAGATACCACAATGCTCATGAATGCAAGGATCAATTGCAAGTCACTTTTTTGCAGTGCTGTTGCAACATCCAACACTCACTAAATGAATGATTGTAAGTCGAGGATTTCCATTGCATATAAGAGGGACTCAACTGTTTGACAGTTTTTGTTGTCACAGATTTGGTCAATCATTTGATATCGATAAAAGAAGTTGAGACTGATAATAGATTGCCTTGTGGTTATTTGAAGCAGGGGTCTCCAACATTGGTGGTATGCTGCTGATTCGCACCGGTTCTAGTGATCCGGTAGCAACGGTCAGCAGTGTGCTGGCTGAGGAATTCTGGGAGTTGAAGTCCACAAGTCGTAAAGTTGACAAGGTTGGAGACCCCTGATTTGAAGGATCCTCTTTGTGCTGTGGAAGAATCTTTCCCTTGAAATACCAAGCCGCTTCCTCAATATTCGGTTGACATTCTGCATTCAGACCTTCTTTCTATGAACATTTGTTTCTGAGGTATTTTTGGAACGACCATGCATTTGTATTGTTTTAATGCATTGCTTTTATCATTGCAGTTTCATCACGTGCCTTGTCGACTACTTTGTAAATGAGTGTGCAAGAAACAGCATCTAAATGAACAAATAACGCTTGTGAAAAGAGGGCTGGCTAGTGTTTCTGTCCAACCAGTAAGCCATTCTATGAAAAATAGTGGAAAGATAGTAGACTTTATGCAGCCTTGACTTTAACTGACAGAAATCTAATGATGAGAGAAAGGATATGACGTTCTTTTCACAAATGTCTCCCAAACAACTTCGGTGCCAAAAACAAGTAAGCAAAAATCAAACATGTTTCTTAAGGTAACACACATTACACAAAGGTTAGTCAAGTTACATTGGTACCTGAGACAATAAAAACACAAGAGCACAACAGTGCAAAATGCAGTTTCTGTAATAGTAGCATCACTTAACTGTACTTGGTTAATCCTCCCAAATCTTGGACTTAGTTCAGAGCTTGGGATACTAGCAGGAAATCTTATCATTGTAAACTAGATTTGGAAGGTCTACCCATCTCTCTCTCTCTCTCTCTCTCTCCCCCTTACTCCCTCCCCCTCTCACTCCCTCTCTCTCTCACACACACACCTATCTATCTATCTATCTATCTATCTATCTATCTATCTATCTATCTA